TGTTGCTACTGTTGTTGCTGTGCATCTTTGTCTCTGTCTCTGTCCTTCTGTCGTTACCTCTGTTCTCTCTCTCTCTCTGTCTCTCTCCCTCTCTCTCAGACGACCACCCACCTTGAGCCGGGGTCTGTCTGAGGTCTCTTAAAAGGAAGTTTTTCCTTGCTGCTGTCGCCAAGTGCTTGTTCATGGTAGTGTGGTAGATGAATGTTTTAGGAGGGTTAGTAATTGTATACAGTTTGGTTAGAGGGTAGTGATTTTATGGTAGGGGGATAACAAGATTGATAAGAATCTGGTCACAATCACAGGGTCAGATCAAAGGACAATTTGTGTTGAAGACCTCAACCTTTCATGTGTGATTTACAGCAGTAATGTGAATAGGATACCAGATGTTTTTTGTTTGGATGTACTGAAAGGTATATAAGGGAGAGCATTCTGGAAGTCTGGAGAGAACATGTATGCTGTGGTATTTTCTCCATGTCCCTCCCTGTGTTCTATGTTGTTTCAAGAAACCCCCAAGCTGTTTTTTTTTTCAATCTACGAACAAACTTTACACCACTATAGCCGCCTTGGGAGGATCATGGTGACACACAATTCATACACTTAGTATTGTCCTTGTGCCAAACAAAGAATGCCGTGTGTACAAAACAATATAAGTAAATGGCATTTATGTGTTCAAAACAGACTGCCTGCATAAGTACACCTCAGCAGCACCAAAACACTGTCTATCCACCAGCGGCCGAACACCTTTAGTAAATTGTGCAGAATATATATAATCATAAAAAGCTACCAGACGACCTTGTAAAGCCAAAGGAACTGACAGATTATATCACATCCAACAAAGACCATTTGCACTGTCTTGTCCACGGTCAGTACATCTTGAGAAGTCAAAAAGACTCGAAATGCCATAATTAATGTAACTGAACGATTTCAAGTAGAGTCTGATTGCAGACAAGGTGGGACATTTCTGTCGCACCTGACGGGAACGCCGACATAGATGATTTACATGGAACAGGACTGTCCAGTAGCTACTGACTGCCTTTTATCCCCCCAGTAACTTTACTGACTGCTGTATTGTCCTGTTTGTGTGCTTTTAAATCAATGTCAATGCATTCTGTTGTACAATTGAACTTATGATCTGGAAAACACTGCAGCCAGTTCTATTTGTTATAGTGTACCTCCTGGACCATACTCTGATTTTATATCTGAATTCTCAGAGTTTTTATCAAGTTTAGTCCTTAAATCAGACAAAGTTATTATGGTTGGTGATTTTAATTTCCATGTGGATGTTCACAATGACAGCCTTAGCCCAGTCCATTATGTCTGGAATGAGTAGTGCATCATTAAGGGAAGTGCAGTATGTTTATTCATCGTCTCTTAGGATAAGATGAGAATGACATCACTCTCATGTTTGTGTGTTGAGAACACAGATAGAGGATGTGGTTAGCCATGGATTGAACAGACAAGGTGTTCATCAGTGAGTGTTAGAGATGTTGGTAGGTGTAGCCTTAGTAATGCATTTATTTCNNTTATCAGATCGTTCTCAGTTTGTACACGTTAACGATGAATCCTCCATAAACACTAAAGTTAGTCATGGACTTCCACAAGGTTCTGTGCTTGGACCAATTCTATTTACTTTATGTATGGGTCATTCCATGAATGCGGTACGATTTGGACTTTGACAATTTCAGATTTTTGACCAAAATGGATGACTTTTCTGAACACCCCATAACATTAACTACATATTCAACTTCCACAATAATATAAATTCCCATCTCAGGCATCAAATCTCTACTATTATTGGTCATTATTTTATGGTGTGGGCAATATTAGTCTTCAACCCCATTACGGACACTAATGGAAGTATCTGAATATGTTTATAAAATGTATTTGTAATTAAATCAACATTTTTCTATAAATCAGATGTCCCTCACCATTATTCAATAATTGCAAATATAAAAATTACATTAAATCTCACACTTTTTCTCCATGAAAACTGAAATGGGCACATTTTGTGACAGCGACATCATCCTTTTTGATCAAAAATGTGGTTTAAATTCAGAATTTGAACTAAAATTTATATTCTTATGATTGCTCTAAATATTTCATACAGATTTCCAGAAATATTAAATCACTTTATCATAAACATATTAAAAATAACTAATTCAATGTAAGATTTTCTATATACATTGTATTTCATTGTAACCATTTAAGAATGACAATAGATGTAAATTGTATAATAACCAAACTACAGGAAAAACAATGATTAACATACATTAAAACATTGCAAGCTGACTGAATAAGCTCTCCTTAGGCAACATTTTTAGGAGTCACCCCATTAACTTTCACTGTTATGCAGATGATACCCAGTTATATCTATCAATCAAGCCCAATGAAATTAATCAGTTATCTAAATTACAAGCATGTCTTAAGGACATAAAAACCTGGATGAGCTGCAATTTTCTGATGTTAAACTGAAGTTCTTGTACTTCAAAAACCTCAGAGACTCACTGTCTAAAGATATAGTTACTCTAGATGGTATTACCTTGGCTTCCAGCACCACCGTCAGCTTGGTTCGGGAGGCAGGCACCCTCCTCTCCACATTTAAGAGTAGGCTTAAGACGTGTGACCTGCTCTGTTTGAAAAGTGTCCTGAGATAACCTTTTGGTATGAATTGATGCTATACAAATAAAATTGAATCTACAGTGCAGTTGCAGATTGCAACTCCCTCACTCTCTCCTTCTAAGCTCGAAGGAGAAACTGCGGTGACCATGAAACTTGCAAGAAAACCCACAAACTGCCCTGTCTAGAGCCAGTGTTTGGTTTCTCCGTTCTGGACCACTGTAGAAACATGGCGGACTCCATGGAAGACGACCAATGGCATCTGTAGACAAAAATGGCTCATTTTAATGTTTTTCTAACAATAACTTGTTACACATTGGACCTTTAAGAGAATTCTACCTCATTCTGATTTCATGCTATCTGCCCCAGTATCTTCATTTGCAGAGTTTCTTGCTCAAAAACTGCAAAAAGATTTGGACTGGGTTTTTGGTTCTCAAATTCACATTGCAGGGAGGATTCAGTCCATTATGTCTGGAATGAGTAGTGCATCATTTAGGGAAGTGCAGTATGTTTATTCATCGTCTCTTAGGATAAGATGAGAATGATATCACTCTCATGTTTGTGTGTTGAGAACACAGATAGAGGATGTGGTTAGCCTTGGATTGAACAGACAAGGTGTTCATCAGTGAGTGAGTACCAAGGTACGTGTATTTGGACAGAGCCAGGCTAGCTCTTTTCCTGCTGCTACCCCCGCAGGCTTTGTCTGGAGTGTGTGTGAATGGGTGAGCTTAGTATCCTTGTGATGAGCTGGTTGGCACCTTGCATTGCAACCTCATCAGTGTATGAATGTGTATGCGAATGGATGAATGTGACAAGTGTTGTAAAGCACTTTGAGTAGATCAGAAAAGCGCTGTCCATTTACCATCTACCTAAAGCTGGGTGATAAATCGATAAATTCTAATTTACGTTTTAAAACGGCTGAATCATAAAATCGAGATTTTAACTACGAATATCATAATGCCAAGATATCCAGCTGCTAAGGACTCTGTAAAACAAGCCGAAATCCACTCCCTCATCTACACAGAACACGTAGAATAATTTTCCCATAGTATCCCATATGAGAAGATGGGCCCCAGTGATAAGACATTACAGATGTAGTGGTTTTTTATCATCAGCAAATTTATGGTGTCTTTGGTAGTTGATCTTTTAAGAAAAAATCCTAAATCGGATGTTGTGTGACAAGATCAGATATTTTATTTTCAGGCCATATCGCCCAGCCCGACATTTACACTTTACTTTCCTCAGGGGTCAGGCTAAGCCAAATAAACACAATTCTCACACCTGCAAGAGAAGTATGAAATTGCTGATTATCATATCAGTGCTTCCTTTATTTCCTTTTTCCTTTTCCAGGGCTGGATCGATGGAGGATTTAATCAATAGGCTAAAGAGCAGAAATGCATTTTCTTTTGACACTCTTTTACCATTTTATTATGACCTTGAAAGCCAAACTGCTGTTGATACACACTCCGCTCAAGCTTACACTTGCATGCTTTTCCAACATCCTTATGACCTCTAGAACTACTGTCTGGATAACACAGTCCTATTAACTTATAGTGTTCTGTAATATTGTGTTTCCTCCAGTGATGGATTCAAAGAGGTGATGCCATATGATCACTTCCAACCACTGCCTCGGTGAGTAACGCTTCCAATCATTCATTTTAAAACTGTCTTTGTTCTATCATTTGACATATTTCCAGTTTGGACAGTGTTCTGTGAAATATAACACAGGAAGTGTTTGGGCAGAAAGTGTTTAGAAGTTTGATATGATTACTGGTTGGAATACATCCATTGTTGCACCCTGAAGTAATCAGAAGTAACAAGAAAAAGGATGTAAATATTAATTAAACTTTCTTCTCTGGAGAGATGCTGTAAATTCTCCACACAAGATGCTTGCAGGAATTTATCTACATGAAAAAGTGATATGGCAGCCTTCCAAAGCCACTAATTTCATGTTCTTAAACTGAAAATACAGGCTAATTTTAATAGTCTTAAATTATTATGAAGATTTGACTTCAACTTTCTGAGCAAAAAACTCTGTACCACTGTACTGAAATTATTTATGTAGGGAAGTGAGCTGAACCTTATGTTTCATTTTTTAGCAAGTCAGACAGTTTTCATCATAACTATAGAAAGCAAAAAGATTGTAAAAAGGGGTGCCCATTTTTTAAATCTTTGAATGCAATGACAATTTCCCAAAAGCCACCAATGCACATGTCAAAACTAAAATTATGTATGGAAAAGATAACCAAATAGGGAATATTCCAGTGACTAGCTAGTCACTAAAGCTAGCTAGTAACTAAAAATGGTAATAATAAAGTCAGTGGATTACATGACTACTTGTATGTGAAATGTTTTGCTCATACTGATAAACAGAGAATTATCTCAAACTCTCCACTTTCCCTCAGCTCTACGCAGCTTTTTTGCATTTTTCAGCTCATTGTTTTGATTTTTACAGTTCAGTCTCAAGCATCTCATCAGCCTTCCTTCCAGCAGCAGCAGGCAGCTCTGAAAAAGCTCTGATAATCTCTGTAAACTCAGGGGCAGCTGTCACCCCAGTTTGGTGTAAAATGCTGTAAAATTTACAGCAATAGCGTGTCAAAAAAGGCAAATGAATTAAATGTTTTGTTATGGCCACATTTTAGACTTAAGTTCAATACAAAAAGACATGTATTTGGAATAATGTCTGAAGATTTGGAAATGAAACAATGTATTGATTTCTAATGTCACCTTTAGATATTTCTATTCAGTGCTTTACTAACTTGCCACAATAATGATGATATATGTGTTTGCGATTAAATCAGCATATATTTCTGCCATCCCTTAAAGTCTCCATGCCACCCTCTGGACACCCAAATGTCCTAAATGCTTCGGTCCAAAAACAGAGCTAAAAGCAGATTGAACATTGGACAGTACACAAACATCACACAACAAATTAATGAATTCAGGTCTATTTCACTATAGTTTCTTTGCTTCCTCTAATGGTTGCAGGATAAAGATAAAATGGTGGCAACTGTTGTGAAATACAGATGCTTCTTGCAGTCAGCAACTGCAAGATGCCACTAAATCCTACACACTGGTATAATGCTGAGAGAGAGTTTATTGAGGTGTGTGAATCAGTACTAGAGCCCGACTGATATATCTGTATTGTCGGTCTATCGCAGACATATTGGTATCAGTATCATACCCCAAGTGCCACCCCATTATCCCTGCCTCTTCTACTCGAAGTGGAGTCTTTCAGAGGCTGTAGAGGGCTCTGGCTCCGGCTCCATTTTAAAGATAGAGTGAAACTAGATGACCTAACACATCCATTGGAACCAACCATGTCATGCTAACAGTTACGGTCAGCAAGGGGGATAAATAACACTCCAAATTTAGGCAAAATTTGTCAAAAACTGGCCTGGCCATTTTCAAAGAGATACCTTGACCTAATCCTGTGTAAAGTATATGTGTGTTATTTTGGCCTAGTGTAATTGAATATTTCTACATACTCGGGTCTATAAACAATGTTGGAATTGTGAAAATTGGTAATGACTGGAAAGCTGAGACACATACTTACCCTATATACCCCTGCATAAGTCAGTGCCCCACTTGTGCCACCCCACTCGAAAAAGTCTGGATACTCCCCTGTCTCATTTACTTAAATGTCGACTGGCTTTATATGAACTTGAACTATGCACTTCCATCTGTTTGTATGGGCTCAGTGCCACCTTATTCCATGCTTATGTTCCTAATTTTTGTTTGATGCAACATGAACGTGGCTGCTGACAGCCGGGTTACAAACAAGAGTAAAGAATGGAGACACCATCTGTTTCTATTCCTGGAGAAACTGCTGCATTTTTTACATTTGCTCAGAGGGAGGGAGCTAGCAGAATTGGTTTTTGTTTAGATTACACTAATCAAAGATGCCTCATGAATGTAACTGCAGACATAGTTTCAAACCAGGGAAAAGAGAGAGAGGAGAGAGAAGAAGACTGTTTCTGCAGAAAACTTAACACTGAAAGTCTGCTGGTCTGTTTCTTTGCCATCCCTTCTGTGGGTAAACGTCACAGTTTTATTGGTGTATTGCAAATGATGCTTTCAGCTGTTTGCTTTGTCATTTAGTCAGGTGTAGCAGGAGAAACCAAGATAGATTATAGTCTGTCCTGGCTGATGTCCCACAATGGGATTGTTGTTAATCACCACTGTTATCTGATTACATTAAGACATAATGAAGTCCTACTGTGAAGAACAGCCTTAATTCTTCTAATACTGCCTCATAATTTCCTCATCATCCTTTATGCGTGAGGGAGTATCATAAGGACCTGGGTGTAATCATCAACGGCTTGCCCTAAAGCTTAAGTGTAAAGACATTAGCTGTGGAAACGTGTCAGAGCTCATCATATATCAAGTAATTTGAAGCAGATCTCCATCGAAAGTTGATGCTGATGGGACATATATGGAAAATACTTTATATTGAAATCAGAAGGTCGGTCCTGTTGCATGTCGAAGTATCCTTGAGCAAGATATCGAGCCCCAAATTACTCTCGATGCTGTGCATCGGTGTGAATGTGTGTGAATGAGTTATTTTCTGTTTGTGATGGCCTTTGTCATTCACTGTAAGAATGTGTGTCAAAGGGTGAATGTTGCATGGAGTGTAAAGTGGTTTAAATAGTTAGAAGACTAGAAAGGAACTATATAAGTACAGTCTGTTAACCATTTACCATATTAATTGATTTAATTAATGAATTAATGAATTAATGGAAACTGTGCACACCTGTCCATTTTTTCTCATGCTTCATGCCTGTCCCTCACAGTTCTGGTCTAAGATAACATCAACCTCTCATCATCTCTCAACATTCAAATCTGTTAACTGATCATGAAATTATCATTTAGTATCCAGAGATATAATCATATGTAGTGTTTTGCATTGTAAAAAAAATTATGAAATTCTTAGTCAGCACATATGCTGTTAATGTTATCAGATCATTAAATGACCTGAGGCGAGCATTAAGTGAGCTTTGCCCCTGTCCTGTGTGTGCAGCTGGGAGCCGGGCCCCTGGACCCAGTGCTCAGTGTCCTGTGGTGAAGGTGGCGGCTGGCAGGACCGCAGCGTGCTGTGTGTGGAGGAGGACACCCACGGACAGTTCTCCCAGGTGGAGGAGTGGAAGTGCACCCACTCCCCTCGACCTATCACCCGACAGATTTGCAACACCTTCGCTTGCCCCCAGTGGGTGGCCATGGAGTGGTCTCAGGTCAGTAAATGTCTGTTTGCATCAGCCATCGACACCAGTAATAAACTCGTCTAAAGTCAGTCTACAGCATCAGAGGGCTTTATTTGCAGGTGTAAAATACACCCACTGTTTCATCTGTTTTACTTTTATTTTTCTTTTGTTCCTCTATCATTATGCTCTTGAAAGGTGCAATATAAATAAAGTTATTCACTATTTACTCCTCATTTAAGTCAGTTGTCAATCAGAAATGCCAGAACTTCTCTGCCGTTGGACTCTTGGATGTGAGGATTTGCTGCATTTCTCTGTTTTCTGTGTAAATGTAATATCTTTGTGCTTTAGACATGAAATATGAACACTTAACTTTTGGCTCTGGAAAACTGTTTTGTGCACTGAACAATTAATCACTTAACTGAAAAAATAACTGAGACATTAATTCAGTGTTTCCCTACCTGGGGGTCAGGAGCCCCAAAGGGTGGGAAAAGAACAATATGAGGGGTTGTGATTAGTATGAGAGGAAAGCAGAATTATTTCTGCTACACAAAGTTTTTTTTACAGCCTTTCTTCCCATTTAAATTTTAAAATGACTCACTAATATAACTTCTTCACTACTCCAAAACATATCCACATAAAGACTAAGTGCAGAGCCTGAAGTAGGCTGGTAGGCACTTCTGATTTTTGTTTGTATGTGTACCTTTAATTCTCTTTCTTCTTAGTACGCACCCCTAAACACCCACATAACGCTGATCGAATCTGTAATAAAAGTAACCTATTGTCACATCACAAGTTAGCTAATGTTTCAAAATGCCAGCAGACTAGATAGCAAATCAACCTACATCAATTATATATATTTTTTTTAATTTTGCAAACATTATGTAACATAAGATGTAACTAGCTCACTAACGATTAGTGTAGAATAGCTGTAAGAAGAACGTTGACAGGTTCTGACCGAAGCTTGCTCCACTGTTATTGGAACACATAGCTAAAAGGGGCGGGCAGACTCACAAAAAAGGTTGCAGTTGCAGCCCAAACTTGGATTGATTGATGCCACCTGTAAAGTGAATACTATATGTGAGGTAATGTGTGTGTTGCCATCTTACCGCAGTGCACAGTGACGTGTGGCCGCGGCCTGCGGTACCGGGTAGTTCTGTGCATCGACCATCGCGGACAGCACATCGGAGGCTGTGAAGCATCACTCAAACCTCACGTTAAAGAAGACTGTCTGGTCCCTATCGCCTGCCACAAGCCCCGAGGTAGGACGCAAGACAGCCGTGTATGTCGTAAGGAAGACCATAGTGGACAAGTGTTTAAAGCTCACAAATGTAAAAAGCAATCTTTACATTTTTTATTGTATAAACATTCTCCTAATGGATAAAGGAGGGAACTTTATTAGTACCAGAAGGTTAACACATGCACACAAATACACACTCAAGCTATTAAAGGTGGGGAATGCAAAATCCAGTACCATAATATAGTGCAAACAATGACACAGCAAAATGGTAGCTATGTTGTGGGCATGGAAACTGTTGCTAAAACTGTTGTTGTGCAGCTAACATGCAGAGAGGATGAGGAGGTTTCCCAGAGCCAGCACACCAGCTCCAGACAGCAATACTCTCCTGCTACTATAGCTAACATCACAACAACAGCATATCTTGGCAAACTAAGCTGAACGTCCATGGGCAAGTCATTTAACGTTACGTGACACATTAATCCTGGCTGGAATAACAAGTTAGTGTTGTGGGGATCGCTCCGATCTACATTGTTTCTCATTGTTTCAGAGCACACTAGTGGAGCATAAGGGGGATACTGATTCTGAAAAAGAAGAAAAGAAAGAATGGCATTAGCTAGAACCTTTAATGAAATGACCTTACAATTTCATTATACTCATACATGCTCATCAATCCCATTTTTGTATATGGTATTCTGACGTTTCCTTTTTTTCACTTCTCAAAAAAGAAAACCAAACACTTTCATTCCATTGGATATCTCATACTGTATTATCTGTGCTCCAAAAACTACATGGCAGCATTGCATAAGCATTTACTGTACATTGGGGTATATATATCTCTATCTCTGCACATAAAAGCAACATACTGATCCCAAGGTTGGTTTAAAATAGGAGCCTATTAACATACAGTACATTGTTTATAGCATACATTATGTAAAATGTGTTGTTTTTTTCTAGGGATGCACAATATGGATTTTTTTTCAGCTAATACAGATGACCGATTACCTGATTCTTATGGCCGATACTGATAAGATTACCGATTATTTTGCGTTTTTGTATTTAGAAAATAAGTTAGTTCATGCCCACCTGAGGTAAGAAAGGCTGAGATACAGTGAACAAAGATGGATGATTTAATATTCCATCGCGCTCTTCTAATCAAATCAAACTGACATTACAACAAACAACAGTTTTTCAAATGCTCATTTATTTTTTCTAATAAATCAAACAACTTCACGAACATACTTTGACTTCATAGAGTGTAAAGCCTATCGAACATTTTGCAAAGGAACTCAAAATCATTTCAATTTATTATTGACCGATAATTTATCAGCTATAATTTAATTTCCAGCATAATACATATAAACATAAATGTCTCATTATTGACCAATTTTTTTATTGGCCCATCCCTGTTTCTCCATGTGTTCTGTCCAGGTGTGTACTCTTACAGTGTGTGATTTATGGTCGGCTCAGGACTCTTTGTCTGTCACGCTCTGCTGTCCTTAATGCCCACAGTCACCACCTTCACCAGAAAAACAACAGGCTTCATTTGCATCAGCTTCCATCATGTGGCCCTTATTTATGATCCGTCTGCCAACATAAACTAGCATCCCTCTCTTCAAACTGCTGGAGCTTTTACAGGCTGTTAATTCTCTCAGGTTTGCATGCACATGTACTGTATGTCTCTAAAAGCTTTTTCCAGAATATCAAAATCATTTTGAAGCTTTTATTTGAAGGTAGTTCAAAACTGTTTTATAATGGGTAAAAATTCTGTGTCTTGGTTTATAAACATGCATTTGAGCATATGCACAGTCCTGCCTCGTTATTCTCCTCATCACTATTAACCCATAAGGACTCACAGTGACATGGGTCTGGGTTCTTATGGGTTAACTAATAGTAAATGGGACCAATATGTCAAGTTTTAGAAGGATTACATAGTTATTCCAGCAAAGTGAAAGGGACCATAGTGACCACTTCCACATCTATTATAACCATAGAGCAAACAAACTTATATTATTCATTTTATACTACAGCCAGTCCCAGTTAAGGGGAGCTAGGGTCCAAAGAAAACATGAATATTGTTTCAAAAAGTCTAAATCATTATAATGCAGTCCCTTACTGTGGTTGATTTTGTAGAGGGAGAGTTTTCAGTTACTGCCAGTGTTGACTGAGACTCAAAGTCAAGGACCACACATACTGACTATAATAACTATATATGTTGATATCAGTTGACTGACTCTGGGTCCATCTTTCTTTGGAGTTATCAGTTTCTTTAGATACCTTTAGTAAAAATGGGGATTATTAGCAGGATTACAATTTTAAAATACATTTTAAAATAAAGAACAATATACTAC